GTGAAAAGAAGCTCCTTTTATAGATGTTGCTGAGTATATTAGTGAAGATTCAATGTGTCAAAACTCGCAAACATCAGGCGTTGCTTTAAAATCTAATCGTAAAAGATGTTTGCAACAACTTGTTCAATGATTGCGGCATTAGACATGAAAAGTACCAGTGAAAGCATCTCACATGACACAAATAAGGAGTTAAAACAAAGTGAATAATTTTTCACGACCCATTATACATCCCTTCAACATCCAACAATCCACATACGTATAAGCTTTCAGCATTTAGAGCTCTAGTTAGAAGGGCATTCCATTATTGCTCCAACGTATACGACAGACTGCATGAGTTAGATAGGATTAAAGCTGTGGCTAGGATGTTGGGATTTGGAGCAAAAGTCGTTCTTACAATAATAATAATAATTTCTTACACTGATCCTAGCAAAAAAAGAAAAAGAAGATATAAATAACAAGGTGACTAAGTTCACATACAACAGAAACATGTCAAATATTACGAAAGAAATTGCAGATTACAAGAACACAAGATTACTATACAAAGGATTCCCACAGTTTATAACTTGCTTAGGAAAGACAAGGATATGATCAAGAAGGAACAGCAAACTGGAGTATACAAGATACCATATAAAAATGATCAATTAGGTTTGAACAACGAGTATGCAGTGTCACAACAAAAACCTCAACAAAAGGCTTAAGGAGCACATGTACAACATAAGCAAGGGACACTATTCTACAGCACTATCCAGAGTGGCACAAACACATGGTTTGGTAGTCAAATGGGATGAGGCCAGAATTGTTACACTGGTGCGTTCACTGACTCTAGCATTAAGTTTGGAAAAGTTTGAAATTTATAAATCCAGCCTGACTGGTAAATGTTTAAACTATAAGGATGCCACAGGCTTACCATTGGCATGGAAATATACGATCAATAATCACTAGTAACATCTAATGCATAGCATGCAGTCGATGTAATTTTATATCTTATGTTATTATATTTGTATTTCATTTTATTTTGTTCCACTCTATTTTGATTCGTTCAGTTTATGTATTTAATGGATTAGTTATATTATTTATATTTTATATTTTGATTTTTAACCAAATGTTTGAACCATTTTAAATTTGAATTTTTATTGCATATATATTCAATTATAGAACGATTGTAAATGTTCCAGTAAACTGATAATCTGATGATGGCCTGTTGATCAGGTTGAAAACATTAGTTATAGTAGTAAAAATGATTCACAGCAATAAGGTGTATATGTTGTACAATATTCAATGAGTCTGAGTGTATGTTGAAGTGAATAATTTTTCTGGATCATATCAATATTGATTCCACGATAGGAGATTGATCATGTTAGTTAGGTTAGGTTTCTCAAATGGGATCCCGGCTATTTTTTTTAACCCTGAAATATCACGGGAAATCCTGAAAATTTCTTAAAAATTCACTTTTTTCTTATTTTGTGTTAAATTTGAGGAAATTTTGCAAATAGAAAGTATAATTATTAACCCATAAACTGTCAGAATGCATTTGTATTTATTTTTTTAAGCCTGCTTATTAGTTTTTTTAAATTTTTGCTTATTATGGCATGTCACAGATTGTTTATAATCAATACGTAGCCTATTTGTGACAGGACTCTGAAAATTCTTTACTTGTCAGAACCTGTAATAACTGGAATAATTGTGCTTATGCTGTCTTAATTTTTAATCATGCCCAATATCTTCAATAACTGCATAATGCCAGGTTGTGCAAATTGGGCAAGGATGCAAACGAGTACAAAGTCTGCAAGTATGAAATTTTTCTTCATAAACCTGATTATTAAAACCAAACAAACTGTTGAATTATCAGACTGTAAACACAATGCCACTATTAAAGCAGACATGGTAGACAAATCAAGAATACTAGACAGCAAAAGAAATACTGTAACGCATCTTGAAAATGAACTAGAAATCTTCTAGGCTACAAGCGAAAAAAACATAATATCCATATTCTCTTAAATGCATTAAAGATGATTCCACCCACATAAATTAAATCGAAAAGGGCATACTCAGTAGCAGGACTAAAATAAGAACTAGATTGAATGATTGGAGTATCAACCATATTTGTTTTTTAAAATCTTCTTATAAAAATTTACAATAATATTTTGTATTATGTTTTATTTAAATAACGAAAATTACCTTCTAACTTAGAAGATTAATTTAAGTTGATTTTTTTTTTAATTTTTAACTCAATTCAAAGGCATTTTTGTTGTATGCAGTTTTCAACAAACTTTAATAAACTTTTTCTATTTGTGAAAATTTCTACGTAACTCAAAAGTAATTTTTTATACATATTTTATACAGCATTATTATTATTATTTTGGAAATTGCAGGACGTACTAAGTTACTTAAAAATGAAAAGTAATTATATCATACGATTTTAAGATTTATTCTATATCTTAAAAATAATTATATCCCGGGATCCAGTTCACTTTTATCTCGGAATCCAGTTCACTTTTATCTCAGAATCCCGGGACAAGCAAAAGACCAAGAAATGAGAAACCCTACTCCTAACACAACAACATAACAGTCACACCCTACCTTCATCCCAGTCTTTAATGAACCACATGTCCAAATAGATTCTAATTTGTGGAATACTAGCATGCTGGATTATCATCAGCTACTTTTCAAAGTTTGCTGGATAACCAAACATAGTGGATTATTGCTTGCTGGATTAACAAACTAATTTTTTTTTTTAAAGTTTGGACTAAATCCAAGTTAACCTATTTGTTAAAAGCTAGCTGAAATAAAGTAAAATATATAAAGAAATATATAATCCTATAAAATATTATTTCTAAATATAATCTTCTAATTAGTTTTTAGAATATAAAATTTCATATCGTATTTTTTCTAGTATACTTCAACTTGTTTATATCAGTTTTGCTTTCCAGATATAGAATATGTTTTCTTCAAGTATTCATTTAAATAATAAACTTAAGAGAAGGAAAAAACACTATATATTAAAAATTTGTTTATAGCTACAAGATAGCAAACACACATCTGGCATTGTTCTTATTCATATTTTATAATTTTTTCTTACATAAAACAGTTGAATGTTTCTGAAGAATTCATGAAAACAAAAATCTAACAGAGACATTCAAGCTTTGACAACCTGGGTTTTGCCAAAATTTTAACACATTTTAGTACACCTTTTTCACTAATGTACAGTAACACAACTCATGACAATTAGTAGTAGTTTACAAGAAATCATTGTTTAAACTTTTTTATATGCTTTATATATCAAATTCTGTAAATAAATCTTAATGAGTAGGCATGGATGAGTTAGGCACTAGATTGGAAAGCTTCACATTAAGGATTCATCCTGTTCTTATCCAACTTTTTCTAAATTTTGCAATGCAGTGAATTATTAAAAAATATATCTGGCCCAAAAATACTATTTTGTAATTATTTAAATCATTTACATATCTTTTACCAAATCTCAACAAATACTATAATGTAGAGATCCCTAGATAATAATGTACTGCAAAAGATACACCATTATAAATCTTCCTTAGAATAGTGCTCCCTTACATGGACCGCTGTTCTAAAAATACTGATATGAAAATTGTTTAAATGAATGCTCTGTTAACAGGAATTTAACTAATTTAAAACATAGTAAAGAAAATAGAGAGAATGGGAGTGCTTTCTTAAGCAAACTCCTTCCTTATCATACTTTATTAAGTGGACTCAACTATATAGTTAATTATAGAAAGTAATATATTTTTAATTTTATAAAAAAATTTATATATATGTTTGTTTATATTTAATATAAAGAAAATGTATGAATCAATTTCTGGATGTAGAATGAAATATCCATTTAAGGAAAATTAGTATTTAAGCTATGACACCATATTCAAATTACAATTATGAAAACTTATAGAAATATAATTCCAAATTTATCTTTCCAGTTTAGAAATAGCTATCTAGAAAACAATATTTCATTAAAATCTAATCTATTATTTTATATTAAACAATATAATTTTAATATATAAAATTTAAGCATTTTCATTCAATTTATTGTCTATTTTATTACAATTACTTGTAATAAAAAAATGAAGATAACAATAATTTAAAATGTTATCTTTTAAACCAAAAAGCAAATCCAGTAATTTTTTCATTCAAAATAGAAAATTAGGGGGAAAATATATATATATTTTTTATTTCCTTTTTTGTTAATTATCGCATACATTCAAAACAATTTGCAATTGTGAAACAGTATTAAATACATTTCAGTTTGTTTAATTTCATATATAAATGCATATTTATAATTTCACATTAATTATCGTAAACATAATTTTATTTTACCTTTAATTTTGCAATCTTAATTCATCAAAGTTTATACAATTTGTTACTTTACATAGATGTAGTGTTTAGCCAAATTATTATTTACAAAACATCGAAATAATCCACAACATACACAAACTTCCACGAAAATAGAATCTAAGAGACAATTGTTTTTAATAAATAGTTTAAAAATTTTCAATAAAAGTTTATTAATAAACCAATAAATAACTTATAAGTGTAACTGTCGACGTTTTAATTAAAAACATTTTAACGAACGTAAATAATCTCAAGAATTTCACAATCTCGTGTTATTAAAGTACAAGTCGACCCCCCCTATAACACTGTTGATTATTCCGTTTTATATGAATTCCATGTTGTACGAGTCACTTAAATTTTACAAATACGTTTGCCGGGCTGTGAATGGCTCATGTATTTGTAAAATCTAAGTGACTCGTACAACATGGAATTCATATAAAACAGAATTATCAACAGTGTTATAGGGGGTTCGACTTGTATTGTATACGAATAAATGGAATTTCGTCGTCGTCGTTCGGTTTATCATTTATTATTATTATTATTTTGAAACTTTTCGAAGAAGAAAACGTATCATTGAGTAAAATGTAGTAATTATAATAATAAAATTAATACATTTATCCGATTTCAAATTACGCATTTACCTGAACTTATTTGTCCTTTTGCACGTTGCATTCTGTTTTTATTCGATTTAAAAATGTAAAAGATAAAAGAAAAATAGTAATAATTAACATTTATTCAGGATATTCTATATTTATGTTCAAAATATAAGCTTGTTTCGTAACAAACCCTCTCAGTTTAACTTCATATTTGACTCAGACGATTAATACCGAATGTGATTTGTAGTCAACCATTTTAAAGAGCGTCATCATTTTTTCGTCATCGGCCGCCCCTTTTATCTTGCGCCATCTATATTTTTCTTATCTAACTTATTTTTAATTTTTTATTTAACAATTATTTTTAGTTTTTTTTTTATTTTTGTAAATAAGTAATTAGAAAATGTAAAATAATATTTTATAGAGTATACAGTTTATTTATAATTCGTTAAATAATTACAAATTTTTGTTTTTAACCGCCCGTGTTGTTTTTAGCAAGTCCATTGTGGGTTAGTGGCCGGATGGCCGAGCGGTCAAGGTGGCAGCCTACCGCTCTGGGGTACCCGGGTTCGATTCCGAAAGGGTAGAAAAATCCTCAGGAATTTTTCGGGGTCTGGTCCGTTCGGATATGTCGGGTCCCGTCCCTCACCACCCGGCAGCTCCATTGTGGGCCTGGCCAAACCCATAATGGCCTTGCAAAAAGAGGCCCTCTGTAGTGCCCACAGGGCGGAAAGAGTTAAAAAAAAGTCTATTATGGGTTAGGTCGGACCCACAATAAAGGGGCCAAGTGGTAAAGGATGGTGCATAGCATGTCCAGGATCGACCATCACTCAAAAAATTCGTGAGGTTTTTTCCGACTCATTCGGATCTGTTGGTTGCTACTTTAACCGCTCGACCACTGGCCGTCACACTATGGATACTAAAAGAATCTTTTTAATCATATCCATTACATGATCGGTTAAAACCACGATGGGAACGGTCGGGTGGTGAGGACAAGGTCCTCTGTGTCTTGGACAAAATAGGCGCGAAAGATGGATTCGATCTTGAGTCCCTAGTGTAACAGGTCGGCGCCTCGGACATCCGGCCGGCTGACTATGCAATTGAGAGCCGATCTTGAATTATCTTGCACATTTAGTTTGTGGCATTTCAAAAATTCTAGATCCTAGATTAGAAGAGCCCCGCTTTTCGATTTAAGGAGAATTATATAAATTTTTCAAAAGCATTAACAAATGAACTTGCAAATACAATAAATTCAACTTCATCCGGACTTGAAAATGCGAACAAGAAAATAAAAAAAAATAAGTCTTGAATAATTCACCCAATCTTTTTGACTTTTAAGAAAGAGTTCACCAAATACAGTAATGTCGGTGTCACAATTCCACGAATTCTTAATCGGACTGATGTGATCACAATAGCAAGGATGACTCTTTGTATTCTGTGATGGGTACAGTTTATATAAATTCGATTCGTTCCGAAGAGTATTTTCGGGTATTACTCCTTTTGGGATAACGCTTATATCCCGACTAAGATTCGAAAAATAATTTTTTTTTGTTTTGTTCGAAAACTCTGTGGCCTTAAAGGTGATTTATTATGATAAACCTCGATTTAATTCGAACTAATGTTAACAAAAAATAACAACCATTATATCATCGAAATTGTCTGATACAACGTAGAACTATAGTTCGTGTTACGTAACCATTCAATTTTTTGATTACTTCTTTTAATGATTACAATAACGTTTTACCGCATTTTATAACAACGGAATTTTCTAGTGTCTTTCGCTTGACGTAAGTCCATGTAGAATTAGAACGATTGAACATATTGTAATTAGGGTTCCTCATTTTCCGATCTTTTGCTTGTCCCGGGATTCCGGGATATAAGTGAACTGTTTCCCGGTATCCCGGGAAATTCAGGGACCGAATTAATTATTTTTAAGATATACAAAATATCATGAGTAGTAGCGGTTTGACACATACTGATCACAAAATTAATTTTCTAATTACAAATTTAAATTAAATTAATTGTATTTTAACAATAAGGCAAAGTTTCTGTATTAATTATTAAATGTTTTAATATCCGAGAAAATTAAAACACGACAATTGTATGAAATAATATAACACCAAAACAAAATTATTTATGAATTTTTTTTTTTTATTTTTACATTAATAGATTAAATTAGTTTATTATATTTAAGCTTTTTCCAGTTTTCTCATTCACTTTATCTAAAACATGGCACATTTCTGCTAATAAGTGGAGTAATAAGTTCTGGTGATTGTTTACAATATATTCCCGGTCTATTTTCTGATATTTTAAAATGTAACACCATGAAAGTTCATTTTGGAAGTCATCAATAAATTGCTGGTCAAGTATTTGGTAACGAGAAACATAATTCCAGTTTAGATAATCTTTTNCTTGATAATCCGACAGGTATGGGACCAAAGGTGTGTCAGATTACCAAAAGTGTCCGGATTACCGAAAATAATTACATATTTCGCATTGTTTTGCTAGCAGTAACTTACAATATTCTCTACTCCAACTGTTCGAACAGAACTGCTCACATAAAACACACGAAATGAGTGTCATCGAGTAAGAATTGGATGGGGAGATTCACATCGCGACATGCTTTTGTGCAAGCAGACACGTAACGGGGACGGGTACTGTACCTTGATGGGAGGTGCGTCGGACTACTGAGCATGTCGGATTAAAAAACGTCGGACTATCGAGGGACAACTGTATTTAATTTTGTTGTTTTTGCGCCAAGCAATTAATTAATGAATAATTTTGTTGATTCGTACCGTTTACAACATTTATCAAAAGAACGATATCTGTTTTTATCTAAACTTTTCCACGAACAAAGCTATCACTCGAATTGAAAAGCCCTCTAAACCTGCTGTCCAGTGAGTCTAGAAAGTAGGTCAAATAACTTGTTTCTAATCGCTGTCTACATTGTGGCAGGCGAGAAACGCCGTCTCTGCAATGAAATTTTTCTGAACAGCGGTCTACCCGATTTGTAAACCTCCGTCGGCCTCTAAACGTTGTCTCTGCAATCGGCCCATCTGGTTTACATTTCTAAAGTCAGCATTGAAACAATAGGCTACACTAATTTTAGTTGTCAATAAACTATTTCAACTCAATCATCACTCATTCTAATTGTTTAGATGACACCATGCAATGTCTAGATAGGCTATAGCTTATTTGACTAATGTAAAACATTTGAATTTAAAATGATAAATATATGCATTCTTGAAAAGAATATTCTTATGATAAACTTTATTCAAATATTTACTTAAAATTTTCTCAAAATTCTTGCAGAGTGAACCATAATTATGAATATTAAAAAAACAAACACTTAGCATATTTAGTTCAGAATTGATTTAATAGTTCAATTCTGATAAATTTTTCTACTATAAAAATATCAAATTTAAATCAGTTTCTGAATTTAATTATATATAAATAAAACTTAGCATTTAATTTAAATTATAAAATTTGTAACATTTAAACTCTTAGTAAACAATAATATATTCAATAAATAAATTAACACTGGTAACCCAGATAAAGTATTTTTGTAAAGATTTAGCGCCCCCTATAATTCAGATAGTTAGCAGCTGGCAACAGTGAATGTCGACCATCGGCAAGTATTTGGAATGTCTATGGTTATATGATAAGTTTTCATAGTTTAATTAAAGGTACAGTATGTTTAAACTGTTTATTTTCAAATAAAAAATTCATCCTGTAGATTAGGCCATGTACTTCATTTTATATGAATTTATTTCTTCAGATGTGAAATATAAAAAAAGTAAACATTATACAATAATAATAATAATAATATTTTTACCAAAATTCCTTAATTTTAATGGATTATGTGAATTAAATGCAATTGTTATTTAATTTATTGTATTTTTTCACTATTTTTAAAGTTATTTCTAGATAGAAAATACAATAAAAACTGTCATCAAAATAGCCAAAGTGAATAACTCTATAAAAAAAATCCTAAATGGGAATATTGAATCTACATCAACTGATGCTTTGAACAGAACTTATGTAATGGGTCAATCTTTACCCATGTGCACCATCGTGGCGGCGGTTGCGACTGTTCGTGCTCCCGAATTGATACGTGTGTTCGAGAACTACTGTGAATCAATAACTAGTGATGTTAAACAATCGGCAGCCTGCCGGCGGCTCCCCTCCGGGAGTACGAACGGTCCCAATCGCTGCCGTGACAGTGCACATAGGTAAAGATTAACCATGTAATGATACCTAAATGTGGATATGTGATCTGAATTTTCTTTTCATAATGTGTTAGCAGTATAGAGTTATACTTTTGAATAATGTAGAGAGATGGCAACTATACGTATTTAGATGTAAATATTTATGTAATATTTTATATTTCCGTTGCTAAGTTTACACTGACGTCATTCGCAACGGATTATAAGCCAGTTCGAAAGATTCAAAAAAGAGTTATTTGTATTAAGTGTTCGATTTACAGTATTTAATCGTATTTTCTTGAGAAAGGTCTTTTAATAAGACCGAAAACGTTTGAAGTTTTCTAATAAACGTCGACTGCAAGAAAAGGTGTTGTAGTAAGTGTTTTTTGGTATAGAGTTATTGAAAGATTAAAATGGATTCGGAGTGATGTAGCATTAACTGCTCTGTCAAATGTCAAGATTCCTAAGAAACAGTCCACTACTAAATTTTCTTATCTACTCCACCCAGAAAAATTTACTATACTTATCGTTAAAAGTAAAATTCATAGCATGATTTGAAAAAATGTCTCAGAAGATATGTATAAAAGAAAATAGTTTTGATTTTTTACTAATAAATACATAAAAATGAATTATTTGTAGAATATTATTACATAATGAATATTTTTTTTAATTCTGTAGTTTTCAAAATGTTATAGTCTTTTTAGTTTTGGCTCATTTCGTCTTGTAGACATTCTCTTTTAATCACTCTTATAATGAGTTTGTCGGTTCCACAATGAGAGGGGCAGGTAAAAGATTATTTTTAAAAATTGAAGACTAAATACAAATAAAAATTTGATGTCTTTGTACATCCTTCACAGCCCTAGAAGCACAATTAGCATGAGTAGAGCAGATCTTTCTTTTGATGCTCTTCCTGCTTACAAATATGTAAATTGATTAAAAGTCCCTCTGGCTCTAGATTCTTGAAAAAATATTTGTTGATATTAGGAGGACTTTTAATCTATTTACATATTTGTAAGCAGGGAAGAGCTTCAAAAGAAAGGTGTACTCTGCTCATGTTAATGAAATGACTCTGCACTATTTTTAATGCAATCTAAGGATAAAATGAATTTAAAAAAAAAATCATTTCTTAATCTAAACACGATGACATATTTTGAAATAAAAAGTGGTCATCAATGTTTAATCAAATTAATAATGAAAAAATTGAAATAAAATTTCAGAGAGAACTAGCAAAATGATTAATTACTGAAATAGTAATCTCTTAAAAAATTTCTAAAAATCCAGGATAAATATATTTTTAAAAAATTGAAGACTAAATTCAAATAAAAATTTGATGTCTTCACACATCCTTCACAACCACAAGAGCACAATTAACAAGACATTGGAATATTATTAAACTAAAAAAACTATATAAAAAGTTTTAATGCAGATAAATGAGATGAAATTAATAATGGTTTAAATTGATAGTAACTGTATATATTAAATTAAGTAAAAATTATTTAAATATAAAGAGAAAATATATAAGTAAGAAAAGAAGAAATAGAGGAAATATAAAGGATATTTTTAGTAAAAAGGAACAGATGAATCATTGAATTTTGATATGAAGAAGAGTTATAAAATTGTGAAATGTGGTCTTGTACAAATTAACAAGTAAGACATGAAGAAAATGAAAGAATGCAAAATGAGAATATGATACAAATGGAAAGGATATCAAAATCAAAAACATAAGATTTTAAAAATTGTGGGAGAAAAGTATGAAGAAATTTAATAAGAGAAAGAATTTATACATTTAAGATGCTTTTCAAAAATACATTGAATTAAAAAAGTTTTCATACTATTTAGTTAATAATATTGTGGTAATTAAAAAAAATTGAAATAATGAATAATTACAAGTAAAGAATATATAAATATTTCATTTTTTAAGATAGCCCTTAGTTACTTGTAACCAAAAACATTTGAAGAATTTTCTTATTATAATCATAGATATTATCTGTTGTCTAATGTTAGAATTATCACATCCCAAAACATACAATTCAGAATATACTTATGAAACTTCATTTAGTGTAATCAGAATTTCAATCATATTTATTATATTTAGGTAAATAGACATTTTTATACTATCTTTTTAGGTTATTAGTTTTATTTATCTTGTGACTAATAACATGGAATCTATTTGTTATCATTAACAGTTTAATCAGAGCTTTAAATGTTAATTGTTTTCATTCTTATTTGTATTCAATCAGTAATTTAAACTACTGTCATTTATTATTTCAATTATATGCTAGCTGTTATCAATATCACTTCAATAAACACTAGACAAACAATGATAGATGAACTGCTATTATAGATTTTACAGGTGACAACAAAAACCTGAAGCATCTCAACTTAAAAGGTCTATTATTCTTTCATAAGCAAGGTAGTGCTCTATCAGACAAAAAACTAGCACAAGTAAACTGGAACTATATATTATACCGCATACCTTTGAATGACAAACATTTCAATTGTCAGATAACATACATTGGATCTACATACAGATCCCTTGAGGCTAGAGTACGGGACCACAAATATGATGTGTTGAAGCAGAAGTATAATACTGCTCTAGCCCAGTATGCTACTGAACCTGGGGTTTCCCCATGTTGGGATGAGGCTACTCTCTTGCATAGGGCCTTCAATCGACACGACTTACGCTCGTTGGAGGCTATTGAGATTTATATAGAAACCATGAAGGTAAATTGCATTAACTCTGATTATATTCCGATTCCACAATCGTGGAAGTATTATTTACATTGCCACAAAGCACAACTATAATTGTATGTGTAATTATTTTTCATCTTTCTGCTTTGTAAAAGAAAACAATTCATTTACATCACGCTAATTTTTACAATGCGATAATAATAATTTATGTATAGCTTTATTTTAAAATAATTATTTTTATGTTGTAAACGTAATGATTTTGTATCGTACGGTACATTGTTTAAATATTTAAAAATTTGGAACACAGCTGTATTTGATGGTTAGAAGTTTTCAAATGATAGAACTGTTCTTTTGTGTGTTTCATCCTGAGGAGGGCCTCTAAAAGATGGCCAAAAAAGTTAGAGCATTAAAAGTTTTTGTTCATTCAGTGCTGGAATTAGCATTTAGGTGTTAATTGTGGTGTTTAGTAGTGCTCTGTAATAAGCTCAGCTACACGTGCAATATTAAAGTGCCAAATTTGACCATTAATATCTCTAAGACCAATGAACCAAATCTGGATGAAATTTAAAATACAGTAGAACCTCGATTATCTGGACTAATTGGGGATGAAGGTAGTCCGGATAAGGAAAAATTTAGATAATCAAAACAAATACTTTAATTTGTCTTTTAATGATAATACAACATGTTTTCTTTTCGATGACATATCGGTAATATTAAAAGTAAATACTGTATTTAAATCGTGATCAAATTTTCAAGAAACGAACATTCATATTACATTTGGACTACTACTGACCAACGCTAACAGACTACCTATTGTTTAAAAGGCCCTCTGGTGGCGCAAGAAGAGACATTTTATAAAATAAAAAGCAGTTGAAACTGCATTTTTAAGAATAAAAATTTGACAAACTATTTATCGTTTTATGATGAGTAAAATTTTTTCGTCGCGTTCACGGCTTTTAAGTAATGCATAAACCTTCGAGGCGCGAGACCCCTCGGACCGCAAGGCATAGGTGAGGGCCCACGTTGCCCATATGCCGCCCTTGGTCATAGAAATAATGTAATTTGAATATAAATTATTTATAAATATGTATGTCAAGTTATATTTTTATTACGACGTAAAATATATTTAAGAGTTTACGACCACTGTGCTGGGTGAGACGTTGTTGAAACAAAAAAAGTTATGCATTCCATCACGTACATAAACAGTGTCGTAATTCGCCAAGTGCAAATCAGCAAATTTGTAAAATTTTTGTTTATTTTGAACAATCCGGATAATCGAAAATCCGGATAATGGAGGTTCTACTGTATTTAGTTTCCACGATAAGGACTACACAAGTTTTAAATTTTGAAAAAATTTGTTGGACCATTTTGTACTTGGGCAATCCCAATTTCAGCATTTTTTCTCTAGGTTTACAAGAGATTTTAGCAACCTAAGATACCAAAAAATCTAGAAGGTATCTGCATATGCTTAATAGCTTTTTCAAGAGCTGATCACCACTTTTGTGATCTTTTTGAAGGTTTTATTTAAAAATATTGAGTATTTATAAAATTAGAGCCCGTTTTTTAAATTTTAACATTTCATTGGTCAGTTGGCTACCACATGACATTTTTGCCATTACTTTTAATCCATTAATTAATACTTTCATCATGATTTCACTTTTTTATTAACTTCTAATCCTTTGTCTGATCTGTACCAAATTTTTCATAATTATACTCTGGAACCCTGAGAAAAATATAGACTACCATTAAAACCTGGATACCCTGATTTAATCCCCCTTATTAACTTCTTA